CCTGCCTCGGCCTCCCAAAGTGCTGGGATTACAGGCATGAGCCACTGCGCCTGGCCCAATTGGAGGTTAGTTTTTTTTAATTTTTTATTTTAATTAATTTATTATTAATTATACTTTAAGTTCTAGGGTACATGTGCATAACGTGCAGGTTTGTTACATATGTATACTTGTGCCATGTTGCTGTGCTGCACCCATCAACTCGTCATTTACATCAGGTATAACTCCCAATGCAATCCCTCCCCCATCCCCCCTCCCCATGATAGGCCCCGGTGTGTGATGTTCCCCTTCCTGAGTCCAAGTGATCTCATTGTTCAGTTCCCACCTATGAGTGAGAACATGCGGTGTTTGGTTTTCTGTTCCTGTGATAGTTTGCTAAGAATGATGGTTTCCAGCTGCATCCATGTCCCTACAAAGGACACAAACTCATCATATGTGCCACATTTTCTTAATCCAGTCTGTCACTGATGGACATTTGGGTTGATTCCAAGTCTTTGCTATTGTGAATAGTGCTGCAATAAACATACATGTGCATGTGTCTTTATAGCAGCATAATTTATAATCCTTTGGGTATAGTTTTTAATACATTGTACAATCTGTCTCTGCTTTTTGGTTTGGATTTCTAGATCATTTGCATCAAATATAGGTATTTATATGGTTGAATTTATACTCAATATTTTGCTATTTTTACTACTTATTTTCTTTGTGGTGATCCAGGCATTCTAATATATCTTAAATATCATGATTTACTTTAGATTAATATTTATTTCTGATAAAATATAGAAACTTTGCTCCAATATAATGGAATTCTTTCTTCTCTGTACTGTTCTTCTCACATTATTACATCCATATTTTTTAAACCCAAATATATATCATCATAGTTATTGCTTTTTCACAGTGCTATATCTTTTAAAGACACTGAAAGGAGAAATTAGAAAAACTATTAAAGTCTTTTATGTTAGCTCACAAATTTACCCTGCTTTTTGAGTTACCATCTGGTGTTATTTCCTATTAGCCTAAATAAATTTCTTCAGTATTTCTTGTGAGACAGGACTTTATTTCACCATTTTAAAAACAGATTTTGCTGGATATAAAATTGTTAGTTGATAGATTTTTTTTTTCTTTCAGCACTTTTTATGTCTTCACTGCCTTCTGGCCTACATTATTTCAAATGAACAATCTGCCACTAATTGTATTAATGCAGCTTCCTTGTACATAATGAGTTTTTTTCTTGATATTTTCAAGATTTTCTCTCTATGTTTGACTTTCAACATATTAAATGATGTATCTTGGTGTGCATCTTCTTGTATTTTTTTTCTACTTGAGGTTGACTGAGATTTTAGATGTGTAGACTAATGTTTTCCCTCAAATTTTGGATGGTTTTGGCCATTATTTGTTCAAATATTTTTTTTCTGACCATGCCATTGTTTGGATGTTTGTTCTCCCAAATCCCATGTTGAAATTGGACCCCAGTGGTGGAGGTGGGGCCTTATTGGAGGTGTTTGGGTCATGATGTCCCTCACGAATGGCTTAGTGGCATCCTCATGGTAATTAGTGAATTCTTGATCTATTAGTTGAGGCCTGGCGCCTCCCCCTCTCTCTTTCTTCCTCTCTCATCATGTGATCTGCTCCCCTTTGCCTTCCACCACGGTTGGAAGCTTCTTGAGACTCACATCAGAAGCAGATATTGTTGTCATGTGCAGAGATGTAATATCTACATGATTTCTTCAACTATAATCAACATCAGTGATGACTGTGAGTTTCCCAGTAGATTAGGCTATGTTTGTGACTGGGGACTGTGGTGAGGCTTTACTGGGGATGGGGGAACCAGGCAAGCCAGTCCACAGTGGTGGCAGTGGCAGGTCAGGTGGATGGTGCCCTGGGCAGTGTGTGACAGCAGCAGTGGCAGTGGCAGTGGCAGCAGTGGGCCAGTCCTCAGGCTGTCTGGTGGTGCATGTGAACACCATTAGTGGTGGCAGTAGGTTAGGTCAGCCAGTTCCAGGCTCCTGACTGGTGCATGTGGGTGGGCACTGGTCAGGGTTGTGGCAGGCTAGGTGGGCCATTTTCCAGGCCCCTGGGAGGCATGCATGGGCACTGGTGCTGGTAGCAGATGGGGCTGGCCAGATATCAGATCCCTGGATAGTGCATGTAGGCACCAGGGGTGTTGGGTGGCCTGAGCTTGCCCTCAGGCCCAAGGACTGCGTTTGGATGGGCCGGTCCTCAGGCTTACTGAAGGCCCATGCAACCGTGCTGTGGCCCTGCTGCTGGGAGCGTGTGAGGTTGCTGTCAGTGTTGGCAGCCCCAGGCATGTGGCTCTCAGGCTCTGGGGAGTGCATGCTTCATCTCCCTTTGTCCTGGGGGCAGTCTTCCCAATGTGCTACATCACCCCTTCTCTGGGGCGTAGTACACTTTGTGGGCTAGAGTGCTGGGGACCCAGGTGCCCCACTTGTTCAGCTGGCATTGTGCTGTGATAGCCCTGTGGGTGGACATGGGATGTCAGCAGGGCTCCAGGGCTGTGGAAATGGGTCTCTGGGTCCCAGGGCAGGATGCGATCTGCTGGGGCTGGTCTTTCCACATGGGGCTGTGCTGCCTCTGCTTGGGTATCGAAGGGTGAGTGGGACTCAGTGTGAATTCCCTCTGAAACAATTCAGTCACCAGGAGTGCAGCTAGGCAGGGCGCGTGAAGGGTCAGGGGCTCCCCTGTGGCTTGTATTGCAGGCATTCATGGAGGGACCCTGGACCGTGGAATACCTCTCGCTTGCTTCTTCTCTACAATGGGGACTTCTGGCCAGCCCAGCTGCTGCTTTGCTTCCCTTTCCTTCCAGGCCTCAGAGGTTCCTTGTCCCTTCCCTGCTGAAATTCTAGTTTTCTCTCCTAGATTCTCTGTTTGACATGTACTTATCTGCTCACTGTTTTGGTACCTCTTTGTTGAGGAGGCAAACACAAATTTACCGTAATTGTTTAGTAAATTATCTTATGGCCTCCATTAATCAACTCATCTACACTCTAAGATCTACCTAAACTTCTCTATATAGCCTGCAAATCAAGGTATTTCATGATAACACCCATAGTGAAAGTATAACTAAAAGAAGTATTATCTGGGATACTAATAATGGTTACTAAGTTTTGGTTTTGAGAAAAATATTCATCTAAGAACTGCTCAGGGAAACTGCTTGCACATCAAATCCACCTTAAAATAAGATAAAGATGGGGCTGGGCATGGTGGCTCATGCCTGTAATCCCAGCACTTCGGGAGGCTGAGGCAGGCAGATCACCTAAGGTTGGTAGTTCGAGACCAGCCTGACCAGCATGGAGGAATACCATCTCTTCTAAAAATACAAAATTAGCTGGGGGTTGTGGCACATGCCTGTAATCCCAGCTGCTTGGGAGGCTGCAAGAGAATCACTTGAACCCAGGAGGCAAAATTTGCTATGAGCTGAGATGGCGCCATTGCACTCCAACCTGAGCAACAAGAGTGAAACTCTGTCGCAAATAAATAAATAAATAAATAAATAAATAATAAAAATAAAAATATAAAGATGCTCAAGCATCTGTGTTCAGTTATCACATTCAGATCAGGCTCACTAAGGAGCTAGTGTCACCAATGCAAATTTAAAAAGTAGGATGCTCTGATGTTTCAGGATTAGGATTTTCTCTTTGGTGCTTCTGCTTTATATTTGCCATATGCCTGTTTCGGTTCTTTTCTCAATTTATGTCTGGTTTTTCTTTTTTAAAAATTAACTTTTGAAATTTTGGAAGAATTTTAGATATACAGAAAAATTGCTAAAAGACTACGGAGTTCCCATATATACTGTTCACTCAGTTTCCTGTAATGTTAGCTCTTATATAGCTACATGGATACATTATATTTATTAAATACAAGAAATTAATATTGATACATTACTAGTAAGGAAACTGCTTTATTTAGATTTCTGGATTTCAACCAGTTTTTCTTCTACTGTCCATTTTGTTCTGGGATCCAATCCACGATACTACCCAGCATGCCCTCCTCTCAGGCTCCTTTGCTGTGTTTCTCAGTCTTTCCTGGAATTTCATGACCTTGACAGTTCTGAGGAGGTCAGGTACTTTGTAGAACACCCCTCGATTTGCATTTGTCGATATTTTCTCATGTTCAGTGAATTTTAGGGAAGATTAACATAGAGATGAGGTGCTCTCCTCATGACATCGTATCGTGGGGTACATGATATCAAGTTGACTTACCACCAATGATGTTGACTCTGGTTTCATTTCTGACCTGGCAACAACCTGCCTCATTCTTCTTTGATCTGTGTGGTACCCTGGTTGCTTCTTATTTTCAGAGATCCTGGAATGCTTATCTTTTTTCTGTGTTTTGATATTGGTGTCCTTTTCATTTTTATATGTTTTAACTAATTTTTTCCTCTGTTTCTCTAACTCTTGCTTTTCACATGTTCCCTTTTGCTGTATAAAATCTCATCACTGAGGTTCACTGACCTACAAATATTCCAACCTATTGTCATTCATATTCTAACTTGAAAATAGTAGAGATAAAATCAAAGACAATATTAAATTTTGTTCAATAATCTTCTGTTTAAAATATAGGGAAAAGGTAATATATCTTAGGAGAGTTTTTAAGAAAATGGTTAAATAATTTTTATGACGGACAGAGTAAGCTTCACTGATGTGGACTATCCTCTTATCCCAATGATGCCACCTAAATAGGTATTTTAGCGTAGCGCGTGGCCTATTCATTCATAAGAGGTTACAGGTTAGTTACAGGTAGATTTTTAATCCTATGTGAATCCTTAGACTGGGTTTATTTGTGTGGAAATAGTAAAAGTCCATTATAAAATAAGTAAATATTAATTTTTTTTATGTTTCGCTGCAGATTTTAAATCACATGTAGTCTGAGAAATGTAATGAAGATGTTTTAAGCATTGTTGGAAGAGATTAATTGATATAAAGCTATCGTCTTGCTTCTTGTATTAAATTTGTCTTCACTGTCAGTTGTTTTCAATTCTCTAGGAACAAATATCCTATATTATTCCAATAGATGAGAAACCGTACACTGTGCACCTTAAACAGAGGTAAATTTTTATTCTTTTGTTTTGGATTTTATTTTGTTTCTATGAAGCTGTTTACTCATAATAGAAAATGGAGTATGAGAAAAATACATGGAGTTATTATTAATTTTTTAAATTGTCTTAAGTAAACAGATGCTCTCCTGTGGCTTAATTAAAGTTTGGTTTTAATGTCTCAAGTAGTCTTTGGTAAAAGGGAGTTAGAACAAAAAACAGGGACTTATCTCCTGAAGACTGATTTATAATATTAAGTTGGCAGGACCAGCAGGACCTATATCATTAGGGCAGATGTCACAAAAATAAGTAAATCCGTAGCTGATTTATATCAGTTAGGGTTTATCAGAGAAGTGGGATGATCATGAGGAATATGGGATAGGGATTTAATACAGATCTTATAATGTTGCAGAGCTGGCAAATACTTTATGGAAAATAGTCCTAGCTTTGCTACTCTTCAGAGAATTATTAAATAATTGAAATGATTTTCTATAGGGTTTAATTCTCTGATGTAAACCCAATTGGGAAAGGCTGGCTTGGAAGTCATTTGTGACATTCAAGAGGACAGCTTCAGCTAAACTAGTAAAACTAGACTACATGGCATTGGAAAGAGGTGGATTATGAGAAACTAGAGGTAGCAATTATGGACTTTTTCAAAAACATCCCTCAGAGAAAAAAGAGGCTTACATGAATATTTTGAAGAAAGAGAAAACAAAATATTTTGGTTGACGGAAAATTTCTTAAGGAGAAGAAAAGAGAGATGAAAGGCGTAAACAGGCTGGGCATGGTGGCTCTCTGTATTCCCAGCACTTTGGGATGCTGAGGCAGGTGGATCAAACTCCTGAGGTCAGGAGTTTGAAAACAGCCTGCCCAACATGGTAAAACCCCATCTCTACTAAAAAATACAAAAATTAGCCGGGCATGGTTGCATGCACTTGTAATCCCAGCTACTCGGGAGGGTGAGGCAGGAGAATTGCTTGAACCTGGGAGGCAGAGGTTGCAGTGAGCCGAGATGGTGCCACTGCATGCCAGCCTGGGTGACAGAACGAGACACTGTCTCAAAAAAGAAAAAAAAGAAGATGTAAACAAGTGGTTTATTGTGTGTAAGATACTAAGTAATTCTCCCAAAGAAAAGGTTAACTTACTCTTTTAGGCAGAAGAGAAAAGGAATATGGTGGACGATAACCCAAAGATCTTTGGGAAGAGTATGAGGGAAAGTTAGAGAGCTCACATTGCATTTGAACATCTTATTAAGACTATAAGCAGTGTTGAGAAAGGGAGGGACCTGAGCTTGGGAGAGGGATAGGGCATGTGTATATCGTTTTGAGAAATTAACCGCTTAATGATTATGATAGCCTAATGACTATTAGGAAGCTACAGAAAATAGTTTATATGAAAAATAATGAGAAGCAGAACTATGGCTGCATAGAGATAGGGAGTTTCCTTTGGTTTGTGTTCGTGTGTGTGTGTGTTTTTCGTTTTTTTTTTATTTTTTTATTTAAGTTCTAGGGTACATGTGCACAACGTGCAGGTTTGTTACATAGGTATACATGTGCCATGTCAGTTTGCTGCACCCATCAACTCCTCATTTACATTAGGTATTTCTCCTAATGCTATCCCTCCCCCAGCCCCCCAGCCCCCAACAGGCCCTGGTGTGTGATGTCCCCCGACCTGTGTCCATGTGTTCTCCTTGTTCAACTCTGACCTATCAGTGAGAATGTGTGGTGTTTGGTTTTCTGTCCTTGTGATAGTTTGCTGAGAATGATCGTTTCCAGCTTCATCCATGTCCCTGCAAAGGACATAAACTCATCCTTTTTTATGGCTGCATAGTATTCCATGGTGTATATGTGCCATATTTTCTTTATCTATTCTATCATTAATGGACATTTCGGTTGGTTCCAAGTCTTTACTATAGTGAATAGTGCCACTATAAACATATGTGTGCATATGTCTTTATAGTAACAGTGATTTATAATCCTTTGGGTATATGCCCAGTAATGGGATGGCTGGGTCAAATGGTATTTCTAGTTCTAGATCCTTGAGGAATCACCACACTGTCTTCTACATTGGTTAAACTAATTTACACTCCCACCAACAGTGTAAAAGCGTTCCTATTTCTCCATATCCCCTCCAGTATCTGTTGTTTCCTGACTTTTTAATGATCGCCATTCTAAGTGGCGTGAAATGGTATCTCATTGTGGTTTTTATTTACATTTCTCTGATGACCAATGATGATGAGCATTTTTTCATATGTCTGTTGGCTGCATAAATGTCTTCTTTTGAGAAGTGTCTGTTTATACCCTTTGCCCACTTTTTCATGGGGTTGTTTTTTTTCTTGTAAATTTGTTTAAGTTCTTTGTAGATTCTGGATATTAGCTCTTTGTTAGATGGGTAGATTACAAAGATTTTCTCCCATTCTGTAGGTTGCCTGTTCACTCTAATGATAGTTTCTTTTGCTGTGCAGAAGCTCTTTAGTTTAGTTAGATTCCATTTGTCTATTTTGGCTTTTGTTGCCATTGCTTTTGGTGTTGTAGTTGTGAAGTCTTTCCCCATGCCTATGTCCTGAATGGTATTGCCTAGGTTTTCTTCTAGGGTTTTTATGGTGTTAGGTCTTACATTTAAGTCTTTAACCCATCTTGAGTTAATTTTTGTGTATAGTGTAAGGAAGGGATCCAATTTCAACTTTCTACATATGGCTAGCCAGCTTTCCCAGCACCATTTATTAAATAGGGAATCCTTTCCCCATTGCTTGTTTTTGTCAAGTTTGTCAAAGATCAGATGGTTATAGATGTGTGGTGTTATTTCTGAGGCCTCTTTTCTGTTCCATTGGTCTATATATCTGTTTTGGTACCAGTACCATGCTGTTTTGGTTACTGTAGCCTTGTGGTATAGTTTGAAGTCAGGTAGTGTGATGCCTCCAACTTTGTTCTTTTTGCTTAGGATTGTCTTGGCAACGCGGATTCTTTTTTGGTTCCATATGAACTTTAAAGTAGTTTTTTCCAATTCTGCGAAGAAAGTCATTGGTAGCTTGATGGGGATAGCATTGAATCTATAAATTACTTTGGGCAGTATGGCCATTTTCATGATATTGATTCTTCCTATCTATGAGCATGAAATGTTCTTCCATTTGTTAGTGTCTTCTTTTATTTCGTTGAGCAGTGCTTTGTAATTCTCCTTGAAGAGGTCCTTCACATACCTTGTAAGTTGCATTCCTAGGTATTTTATTCTCTTTGTAGTAGTTGTGAATGGGAATTCACTCATGATTTGGCTCTCTGTTCATCTATAATTGGTGTATAGGAATGCTTGTGATTTTCGCACATTGATTTTGTATTCTGAGACTTTGCTGAAGTTGCTTATCAGCTTAAGGAGATTTTGGGCTGAGACGATGGGGTTTTCTAAATATACAACATGTCATCTGCAAACAGGGACAATTTGACTTCCTCATTTCCTAATCAAATATCCTTTATTTCTTTCTCTTGCCTGATTGCCCTGGGCAGAACTTCTAACACTATGTTGAATAGGAGTGGTGAGAGAGGGCATCCTTGTCTTGTGCGGATTTTCAAAGGGAATGCTTCCCATTTTTGCCCATTCACTATGATATTGGCTGTGGATTTATCATAAATGGCTCTTATTATTTTGAGATACATTCCATCAATACCTAGTTTATTGAGAGTTTTTTTAGGCATGAAGGGCTGTTGAATTTTGTCAAAGGCCTTTTCTGCATCTATTCTGCATCAATAATCATGTGGTTTTTGTCATTGGTTCTGTTTATGTGATGGATTACATTTATTGATTTGCATATGTTGAACCAGCCTTACATCCCAGGGATGAAGCCGACTTGATCGTGGTAGATAAGCTTTTTGATGTGCTGCTGGATTCGGTTTGCCAGTAATTTTTTGAGGATTTTCACATGATGTTCATCAGGGATATTGGCCTAAAATTCTCTTTTCTTGTTATGTCTCTACTAGGCTTTGGTATCACGATGATGCTGGCCTCATAAAATGAGTTAGGGAGGATTCCCTCTTTTTCTATTGTTTGAAATAGTTTCAGAAGGAATGATACCAGCTCCACTTTGTATCTATGGTAGAATTTGGCTGTGAATCCGTCTGGTCCTGGACTTTTTTTGGTTGGTAGGCTATTAATTATTGCCTCAATTTCAGAACATGTTATTGGTCTATTCAGAGATTCAATTTCTTCCTGGTTTAGTCTTGGGAGGGTGTGTGTGTCCAGGAATTTATCTATTTCTTCTAGATTTTCTAGTTTATTTGCGTAGAGGTGTTTATAGTATTCTCTGATGGTAGTTTGTATTTCTGTGGGATTGGTGGTGATATCCCCTTTATCATTTTTTTTATTGTGTCTATTTGATTCTTCTCTCTTTTCTTCTTTATTTTGTTGATCTTTTCAAAAGACGCCAGCTCCTGGATTCATTGATTTTTTGGAAGGTTTTATGTGTCTCTATCTCCTTCAGTCGCTGCTGATGCTTATTATTTCATTTGCCTCTGCTAGCTTTTTGCTCTTGCTTCTCTAGTTCTTTTAATTGTGATGTTAGGGTGTCGATTTTAGATCTTTCCTGCTTTCTCTTGTGGGCATTTAGTGCTATAAATTTCCCTCTACACACTGCTTTAAATGTGTTCAAGAGATTCTGGCACATTGTGTCTTTGTTCTCATTGGTTTCAAAGAACATCATTATTTCTCCCTTCATTTTGTTATTTTATTTACCCAGTAGTCATTCAGGAGCAGGTTGTTCAGTTGCCATGTAGTTGTGTGGTTTTGAGTGAGTTTCTTGATCCTGAGTTCTAATTTGATTGCACTGTAGTCTGAGAGAGAGTTTGTTGTGATTTCTGTTCTTTTAAATTTGTTGAGGAGTGTTTTATTACCAAGAATGTGGTCAACTTTAGAATAAGTGTGATGTGGTGCTGAGAAGAATGTATATTCTGTTGTTTTGGGGTGGAGAGTTCTGTAGATGTCTACTAGGTCCACTTGGTCCCGAGCTGAGTTCAAGTCCTGGATAT